TTACTCTCTACAGGTCTGTGTTCAGAGCTTTACTCTCTACAGGTCTGTGTTAGAGCTTTACTCTCTACAGGTCTGTGTTAGAGCTTTACTCTCTACAGGTCTGTGTTAAGAGCTTTACTCTCTACAGGTCCTGTTGTTAGAGCTTACTCTCACAGGTCTGTGTTAGAGCTCTTTACTCTCTACAGGTCTGTGTTAGAGCTTTACTCTCTACAGGTCGTGTCAGAGCTTTACTCTCTACAGGTCTGTGTCAGAGCTTTACTCTCTACAGGTCCTGTGTTAGAGCTTTACTCTCTACAGGTCTGTGTTAGAGCTTTACTCTCTACAGGTCTGTGTTAGAGCTTTTCTCTCTACGGTTGTTTAGAGCTTTTCTCTCTACAGGTCTGTGTTAGAGCTTTACTCTCTACAGGTCTGTGTTAGAGCTTTTACTCTCTACAGTGTCTGTGTTAGAGCTTTACTCTCTACAGGTCTCTGTGTTAGAGCTTTTACTCTCTACAGGTCTGTTGTTAGAGCTTTACTCTCTACAGGTCTGTGTTAGAGCTTTACTCTCTACAGGTCCTGTGTTAGAGCTTTACTTCTCTACAGGTCTTCGTCTGTGTTAGAGCTTTAACTCTCTACAGGTCTGTGTTAGAGCTTTACTCTCTACAGGTCTGTGTTAGAGCTTTACTCTCTACAGGTCTGTGTTAGAGCTTTACTCTCTACAGGTCTGTGTTCAGAGCTTTACTCTCTACAGGTCTGTGTTAGAGCTTTACTCTCTACAGGTCTGTGTTAGAAGCTTTACTCTCTACAGGTCTGTGTTAGAGCTTTACTCTCTACAGGTCTGTTGTTAGAGCTTTACTCTCTACAGGTCTGTGTCAGAGCTTTACTCTCTACAGGTTCTGTGTTAGAGCTTTACTCTCTGTGTTAGAGCTTTACTCTCTACAGGTCTTCTGTGTTAGAGCTTTACTCTCTACAGGTCTGTGTTAGAGCTTTACTCTCTACAGGTCTGTGTCAGAGCTTTACTCTCTACAGGTCTGTGTTAGAGCTTTACTCTCTACAGGTCTTGTTAGAGCTTTACTCTCTACAGGTCTGTGTCAGAGCTTTACTCTCTACAGGTCTGTGTTAGAGCTTTATCTCTCAGGTCTGTGTTCAGAGCTTTACTCTCTACAGGTCTGTGTTAGAGCTTTACTCTCTACAGGTCTGGGTTAGAGCTTTACTCTCTACAGGTCTGTGTTAGAGCTTTTACTCTCTACAGGTCTTCTCTGTGTTAGAGCTTTACTCTCTACAGGTCTTCTCTGTGTTCAGAGCTTTACTCTCTACAGGTCTGTGTTAGAGCTTTACTCTCTACAGGTCTGTGTAGAGCTTTACTCTCTACAGGTCTGTGTTAGAGCTTTACTCTCTACAGGTTCTGTGTTAGAGCTTTACTCTCTACAGGTCTGTGTCAAGGCTTTACTCTCTACAGGGTCTGTGTGAGAGCTTTACCTCTCTACAGGTCTGTGTTCGAGCTTTACTCTCTACAGAGTCTGTGTCAGAGCTTTACTCTCTACAGGTCTGGTGTTAGAGCTTTACTCTCTACAGGTCTGTGTTAGAGCTTTACTCTCTACAGGTCTGTGTTAGAGCTTTACTCTCTAACAGGTCTCTCTGTGTTAGAGCTTTACTCTCTACAGGTCTGTGTCAGAGCTTTCTCTCTACAGGTCTGTGTTAGAGCTTTACTCTCTACAGGTCTGTGTTAGAGCTTTACTCTCTACAGGTCTGTGTTAGAGCTTTACTCCTCTACAGGTCTGTGTTAGAGCTTTACTATCTACAGGTTCTGTGTAGAGCTTACTCTCTACAGGTCTGTGTTAGAGCTTTTACTCTCTACAGGTCTGTGTTAGAGCTTTACTCTCTACAGGTCTGTGTCAGAGCTTTACTCTCTACAGGTCTGTGTTCGAGCTTTACTCTCTACAGGTCTGTGTTAGAGCTTTACTCTCTACAGGTCTGTGTTAGAGCTTTACTCTCTACAGGTCTTCTCTGTGTTAGAGCTTTACTCTCTACAGGTCTGTGTTAGAGCTTTACTCTCTACAGGTCTGTGTTAGAGCTTTACTCTCTACAGGTCTGTGTTAGAGCTTTACTCTCTACAGGTCTGTGTTAGAGCTTTACTCTCTACAGGTCTGTGTTAGAGCTTTACTCTCTACAGGTCTTCTCTGTGTTAGAGCTTTACTCTCTACAGGTCTGTGTTAGAGCTTTACTCTCTACAGGTCTTCTCTGTGTTAGAGCTTTACTCTCTACAGGTCTGTGTTAGAGCTTTACTCTCTACAGGTCTGTGTCAGAGCTTTACTCTCTACAGGTCTGTGTTAGAGCTTTACTCTCTACAGGTCTGTGTTAGAGCTTTACTCTCTACAGGTCTGTGTTAGAGCTTTACTCTCTACAGGTCTGTGTTAGAGCTTTACTCTCTACAGGGTCTGTGTCAGAGCTTTACTCTCTACAGGTCTGTGTTAGAGCTTTACTCTCTACAGGTCTGTGTTTAGAGCTTCTACTCTCTACAGGTCTGTGTCAGAGCTTTACTCTCTACAGGTCTGTGTTAGAGCTTTACTCTCTACAGGTCTGTGTTAGAGCTTTACTCTCTACAGGTCTGTGTTAGAGCTTTACTCTCTACAGGTCTTCTCTGTGTTAGAGCTTTACTCTCTACAGGTCTTCTCTGTGTTAGAGCTTTACTCTCTACAGGTCTGTGTTAGAGCTTTACTCTCTACAGGTCTGTGTCAGAGCTTTACTCTCTACAGGTCTGTGTTAGAGCTTTACTCTCTACAGGTCTGTGTTAGAGCTTTACTCTCTACAGGTCTGTGTTAGAGCTTTACTCTCTACAGGTCTGTGTTAGAGCTTTACTCTCTACAGGTCTGTGTTAGAGCTTTACTCTCTACAGGTCTGTGTTAGAGCTTTACTCTCTACAGGTCTGTGTTAGAGCTTTACTCTCTACAGGTCTGTGTCAGAGCTTTACTCTCTACAGGTCTGTGTTAGAGCTTTACTCTCTACAGGTCTGTATTAGAGCTTTACTCTCTACAGGTCTGTTTAGAGCTTTACTCCTTACAGGTCTGTGTTAGAGCTTTACCTCTCTACAGGTCTGTGTTAGAGCTTTACTCTCTACAGGTCTGTGTCAGAGCTTTACTCTCTACAGGTCTGTGTTAGAGCTTACTCTCTACAGGTCTGTGTTAGAGCTTTACTCTCTACAGGTCTTGTGTTAGAGCTTTACTCTCTACAGGTCTTGTGTTAGAGCTTTACTCTCTACAGGTCTGTGTTAGAGCTTTACTCTCTACAGGTCCTGTGTTAGAGCTTTACTCTCTACAGGTCTGTGTATAGCTTTACTCTCTACAGGTCTGTGTTAGAGCTTTACTGCTCTACAAGGTCTCTGTGTTAGAGCTTTACTCTCCTACAGGTCTGTGTTAGAGCTTTACTCTCTACAGGTCTGTGTTTAGAGCTTTACTCTCTACAGGGTCTGTGTTAGAGCTTTACTCTCTACAGGTCTGTTTAGAGCTTTACTCTCTACAGGTTCTGTGTTAGAGCTTTACTCTCTACAGGATCTGTGTTAGAGCTTTACTCTCTACAGGTCTGTGTTAGAGCTTACTCTCTACAGGTCTTCTCTGTGTAGAGTGTTACTCTCTACAGGGTGTACTTTGAGGGTTTGGGACTCTGCAGACCGTTTACATGCAGAAGCTACAGAACACAAGGGGACGGGTCAGAACCAGAAAAGCATGACATGGGCCCTTTAAATCAGAAACATCTAAATTACAGGAACACAAATCTGATGCGATACTTTCTGTACTTTAAATCACTAACTCTGATTCTGGAAGAGTATCTCTGTTTCCAAATGATGGAGAGGAAAAATAAATCCATAAAATAATAAACCAATCCGTGACAGGAGGAATCACAGTGACAGCCAATCGGCAACCAGCACTGAAAACTCTTCCGGGATCTCTTTTCAGAATAAAAGCATGTGCAGTTCACAACACTAAAAGAATGGTCCCGAGCACTAGCATGTTTTAGACCTCGGTATTTACGAAATCCAGGACACACATATTTTTATGATGTCCATGTTTTTTGTTATATTAGGCATTATTATATTATAAATGATGTGTTCTGTCAATGCTGGTTGCGGATGTTTGATATTCTTATAAGCAAATTCCCCTAGGGGCTAAAATATATAATTCATTCATTACCCCTCTAGTCCCGAGCACTGACCTCAGCACGCCCATCAGGAGAGTCGCCAGGGTGTAGCCAATCACAGAGATGAGCCTGAGGGCTGTCTGCCGAACCATTTCTTCCTCCTGGACACACACACACACACACACACACACACACACACACATTACACACAGTACACATTTACTGACACAAACATTTGTATCATCTGTTGTAGACCCAAATACATTAAATAAAATAAGAACTCATTCTCAAAAAAGATAAACGCCATTCTTAAAATGTATAAACGAACAATAGTTAGATTAATATTGATTAGAGTGCACAATAGAAATAAAATAATTGAGAGAAGAAAGAGAGATATGTTATCTATCAAAACCCAGTTAGATGAACATTCATTGGATTGCACACTGTGTCTGTTTGTGTGGATATGTAGCAAATCAACATGTTAAATAGCACTTAATGACTGACTGAATGGAAATGACAATAAATGAAAATGTAAAACGAAAAAAGCGATCATGAAAATGTTTCCAATAAATGAATACAATTATTTTTGTCCACTTAGTTGTTCAGATATATCACATATTTGTAACTGAATGATGCATTCATTGAAACAGAACACAGTATAAACTGAGGAGTGAGTCCCGTGAGTTTCATGTGTTTTCTTCACTCCGCTGGGAAACTGCTCTCATGTCAAGAAGCATCAGATCAGTGCGCTGCATCGTCCAATCAGTGAGCGATACACAGTAAGGGGGCGGGGCGAGTGGCTGAGGATTTCACCGGAGGATGGTCTGGTGGTTCCTCGATTATAGCTCCTCGGTCCTCCGGCAGAAATAAGCGCCATGGGACGCTACTCAAGATGGCGCAGATCAACTTCCTTTGATACCGAGGACCGACGAGCGAGGAAATGAAAATAACCGACCTGAGACGCAGCCCAAGTGTGTGTGTGCGTGTGTCTATCAACCGGTCAGCATGGCGTTTCAGAACAAGAAGAGCAGCGCGAGACCCGCGGTAGGTGCAGCCGCTCCGGTACCGGGTTTGGGAGGACCGGGGGGACCGGGAGGAGCGGGCGGGGATCAGCACCGGGTTGCGGGTGCTGCAGCATGAGAGAACGATCATTATTATTAGATATTATTATGATCTGATTCATAGTGAACAGCAGGGACGTGCACAGGTACGGGCTAATGTTGCCCGGGCAACGGCCCGTTTGGTCTTTTTGGCTGACCTGTTTTTTTCTGTTGTGGCCGAATCAACACGATAAGCCCACAATTAGTATTGTAGCGTCTCGCTGCGGGAAACACTGTCAGCGCTGTCATCTGCCGGTGCGTTAAGACCACCTCAGTGTCGGATTTTGGCAGTTAGGGTATAAGAGACAAACCAGGGGACTTTACTTCCTCTTGATACCGTCGGTTATTTACAAAAAAACACCTAAATATAGCCTACTTGTTGTTGTGCTTCTGTCTCTCTGCCTGTTCATCTGTAAGCTCCCTCAACGGGGCCGCACGCTCTCTTTTCTTGATCGCCCTCTCACGGGTGAACAGTTCACTGTCCCGCTTCATTGTAGGATTTCTCTACCACTTTAGTTTGACCATCTCTGTTATTAAGTTATGGAATACTAAATAAATAAGTAATTAGATACCGTACCGTTACTGGCTGGACTCATAATGATAAGAATAAGAATAATGCGTATTGAACTGGTTTAATTAATTAGTGAGTTTATTTAAGGTAATTCGAGGCCCTATGTTATCAGTATGTATGTCTGCACAGCAGTTACAATGGTCAAACTACATTAGAACAGAATTGTCCCCATTTTGTCTTTAATAGTTACTAACATTAGATATTTTAATGAGATATGGACCGCAAAACAAAACATTTCCCTAGTTTTCATTTTTAAAATCAAGTTACCGAATGCAAGTAGTCGCCTTAGCTTATTTTGTTCTGTTACTGTTCAATTTAGTTGATGTAATAATCGTTTGGTTTCTTTTACATTAAAAACAAGATACCATTTTCAAAAGGTCTTATGTTTTTTTTTGGGGGGGAGGCCCTTTTTCCAGTTTAGAGCAATAGCCCCTCCAAATGTCTGTGCACGTCCCTGGTGAACAGTGTACCGTCAGATAATTAGACAGGTGTATTATAATCTTATACATTCTATATTCACTATATACTATGTACAATCAGATAATAACACACCTGTTTATTATCTGATCTATATTCACTATAATCTGACACATAGTGAATATACAATGAATCAGATACTAAATACAGTGTTATAATCTGACACATAGTGAATATACAATGAATCAGATACTAAATACAGTGTTATAATCTGACACATAGTGAATATACAATGCATCAGATACTAAGTACAGTGTTATAATCTGACACATAGTGAATATACAATGCATCAGATACTAAGTACAGTGTTATAATCTGACACAGTGAATATACAATGAATCAGATACTAAGTACAGTGTTATAATCTGACACAGTGAATATACAATGCATCAGATACTAAATACAGTGTTATAATCTGACACATAGTGAATATACAATGCATCAGATACTAAGTACAGTGTTATAATCTGACACATAGTGAATATACAATGAATCAGATACTAAGTACAGTGTTATAATCTGACACAGTGAATATACAATGAATCAGATACTAAGTACAGTGTTATAATCTGACACAGTGAATATACAATGCATCAGATACTAAGTACAGTGTTATAATCTGACACATAGTGAATATACAATGAATCAGATACTAAGTACAGTGTTATAATCTGACACAGTGAATATACAATGAATCAGATACTAAATACAGTGTTATAATCTGACACATAGTGAATATACAATGAATCAGATACTAAGTACAGTGTTATAATCTGACACAGTGAATATACAATGAATCAGATACTAAGTACAGTGTTATAATCTGACACATAGTGAATATACAATGAATCAGATACTAAGTACAGTGTTATAATCTGACACATAGTGAATATACAATGCATCAGATACTAAGTACAGTGTTATAATCTGACACATAGTGAATATACAATGAATCAGATACTAAGTACAGTGTTATAATCTGACACATAGTGAATATACAATGCATCAGATACTAAGTACAGTGTTATAATCTGACACAGTGAATATACAATGAATCAGATACTAAGTACAGTGTTATAATCTGACACATAGTGAATATACAATGAATCAGATACTAAGTACAGTGTTATAATCTGACACATAGTGAATATACAATGCATCAGATACTAAGTACAGTGTTATAATCTGACACATAGTGAATATACAATGCATCAGATACTAAGTACAGTGTTATAATCTGACACATAGTGAATATACAATGAATCAGATACTAAGTACAGTGTTATAATCTGACACATAGTGAATATACAATGAATCAGATACTAAGTACAGTGTTATAATCTGACACATAGTGAATATTACAATGCATCAGATACTAAGTACAGTGTATAATCTGACACATAGTGAATATACAATGCATCAGATACTAAGTACAGTGTTATAATCTGACACAGTGAATATACAATGCATCAGATACTAAATACAGTGTTATAATCTGACACATAGTGAATATACAATGAATCAGATACTAAGTACAGTGTTATAATCTGACACAGTGAATATACAATGAATCAGATACTAAGTACAGTGTTTAGTAATCCATGACACAGTGGAAATACAATGAATCAGATACTAAGTACCATGTGTTATAATCTGACACATGTGAATATACAATGCATCAGATACTAAGTACAGTGTTATAATCTGACACATAGTGAATATACAATGAATCAGATACTAAGTACAGTGTTATAATCTGACACAGTGAATATACAATGAATCAGATACTAAGTACAGTGTTATAATCTGACACAGTGAATATACAATGAATCAGATACTAAGTACAGTGTTATAATCTGACACATAGTGAATATACAATGCATCAGATACTAAGTACAGTGTTATAATCTGACACATAGTGAATATACAATAAATCAGATACTAAGTACAGTGTTATAATCTGACACATAGTGAATATACAATGAATCAGATACTAAGTACAGTGTTATAATCTGACACAGTGAATATACAATGAATCAGATACTAAGTACAGTGTTATAATCTGACACATAGTGAATATACAATGCATCAATACTAAGTACAGTGTTATAATCTGACACAGTGAATATACCAATGCATCAGATACTAAGTACAGTGTTATAATCTGACACAGTGAATATACAATGAATCAGATACTAAGTACAGTGTTATAATCTGACACATATTGAATATACAATGCATCAGATACTAAGTACAGTGTTATAATCTGACACAGTGAATATACAATGCATCATATACTAAGTACAGTGTTATAATCTGACACAGTGAATATACAATGCATCAGATACTAAGTACAGTGTTATAATCTGACACATAGTGAATATACAATGCATCAGATACTAAGTACAGTGTTATAATCTGACACACAGTGAATATACAATGAATCAGATACTAAGTACAGTGTTATAATCTGACACAGTGAATATACAATGAATCAGATACTAAGTACAGTGTTATAATCTGACACATAGTGAATATACAATGCATCAGATACTAAGTACAGTGTTATAATCTGACACAGTGAATATACAATGCATCAGATACTAAGTACAGTGTTATAATCTGACACATAGTGAATATATAATGCATCAGATACTAAGTACAGTGTTATAATCTGACACAGTGAATATACAATGCATCAGATACTAAGTACAGTGTTATAATCTGACACATAGTGAATATACAATGCATCAGATACTAAGTACAGTGTTATAATCTGACACAGTGAATATACAATGCATCAGATACTAAGTACAGTGTTATAATCTGACACAGTGAATATACAATGAATCAGATACTAAGTACAGTGTTATAATCTGACACAGTGAATATACAATGCATCAGATACTAAGTACAGTGTTATAATCTGACACATAGTGAATATACAATGAATCAGATACTAAGTACAGTGTTATAATCTGACACATAGTGAATATACAATGAATCAGATACTAAGTACAGTGTTATAATCTGACACATAGTGAATATACAATGCATCAGATACTAAGTACAGTGTTATAATCTGACACAGTGAATATACAATGCATCAGATACTAAGTACAGTGTTATAATCTGACACATAGTGAATATACAATGCATCAGATACTAAGTACAGTGTTATAATCTGACACAGTGAATATACAATGAATCAGATACTAAGTACAGTGTTATAATCTGACACAGTGAATATACAATGAATCAGATACTAAGTACAGTGTTATAATCTGACACATAGTGAATATACAATGCATCAGATACTAAGTACAGTGTTATAATCTGACACAGTGAATATACAATGCATCAGATACTAAGTACAGTGTTATAATCTGACACAGTGAATATACAATGCATCAGATACTAAGTACAGTGTTATAATCTGACACATAGTGAATATACAATGCATCAGATACTAAGTACAGTGTTATAATCTGACACACAGTGAATATACAATGAATCAGATACTAAGTACAGTGTTATAATCTGACACATAGTGAATATACAATGCATCAGATACCAAGTACAGTGTTATAATCTGACACATAGTGAATATACAATGCATCAGATACTAAGTACAGTGTTATAATCTGACACAGTGAATATACAATGCATGGGCACCAGTCCCCTGGTTTGTCTCTAGAGTCTAATGCCATGAGAAAAATCAGATCAATGTTCCACAATCCGTCACTAGATGTGGGGGGGGGGGGGGGATGCTTGAATTTTGACTCGAGCCGTCCCTTATAGATACTGTCTTTTTACGTTAGTGAGCCAGATCATTTGGCTCGGCTCTCTTAAAGCACCCAAACGGCTCTTCATGTTACCACAGTTTACCACGGAGCCTCAGTTTCTCCGCGAGGACTTACTGTCCTAATGTGCACAATGTAGTGACTGCTTTTTCCTCTTTTGTTTTCTTAGTTATGTTCTCTGTATTTTATATGTTTGTGTTATGTGTTATGTGTAACGTTGCTGCCTTCTTGGCCAGGTCAGCATTGAAAATGAGATTTGATCTCAATGTTTTTATCTGGTTAAATAAAGGTTAAATAAATAGAAAATGGTGCTAGCAGCTCACGCGCGTGCTCCACTAGCACCGCTCATCGCGTCCAAATCGCGCGCGTTCCGTGTTGTCCTGTAGCAGGCACCGCCGATGTCGGGGAAACGATCCTCAATACTCCGAAAAGAATCCCACCAGACTCCTTTGCCCCTCCAACAGAGGGATTTCCTTTTTCCTTTTCGTCATTTCAAGCGATAAAAACTCTCAATCTTCTCTCGAATTATTAATATCTTTGGACGCCCTCAGCTCGCGTTCAGGGCGTCCCGAGCTGAATAAGAGCGTCAAATGACGGCAAGACGCCCCCTGGCGGAAACGCTGATACATAACATATTATTATTCTAGTAAAAGGGCTCGCGTTGGCAGAAGCCTGATCCATACAGGCAGCCCTAAATAATAACAAGTAACCATCATGTGTGGTGCTATCTGTAGATGTCTGTCTTCTTTGTTGTTGATGTCATATTGTTTTCACAGAGCTGTGAACATGAATTTCCCCCTGGGGACAAATCAAATCAATGTTCTAAAATCCGTCACTAGATGTCGCTCATTGTACCAATACGGTTTATATAATACAGATTACCACGTGCTGTGGAAATGAATTCCCCCTGGGGACAATAAATCTAATCTGAACTAATTTAATATTCAATCCCACACTTAGCGATTGAGAACATCAATTCGTAACTTACCTCGTTTAAAGCACTTTTGTTGTAATACTATGGATTTAGTTGACACTACTAGCCGAGTTTCTTTTGTCCAATATTTCGCGGGCAGGTACATTGAATTAGAAGTAGAAGAAGAAGTAGTAGAAGAAGAAATACGCTAACGCTACAAACAGGCAACAACACTGTTACTCTGTTTTTACTGACATGTAACATTTTATTTCACCTTGCTCTGTTTTTTAACGCACATTCAAAAATGGGAACATTTTCGGGAGTTTGAACCGGGTACCGGCCACCGGAAACAGGGACTCTGCCCGGAAACGGGGACTCTGCCCGGAAACGGGGACTCTGCCCGGAAACGGGGACTCTGCCCGGAAACGGGGACTCTGCCCGGAAAACGGGGACTCTGCCCGGAAACGGGGACTCTGCCCGGAAACGGGGACTCTGCCCGGAAAACGGGGACTCTGCCCGGAAACGGGGACTCTGCCCGGAAAACGGGGACGTCTTGGTCACCCATCCGACTGTGTTTACAGCTAAGCACACACGCTAACATTAAGACTACAAGCTCACTTGGGGTTGAGGCTTTTTCACACGTTGCTTGACTGCCGGCCCACATATCTGATCTAAACATAGTAACGTGTGGTGGGGGAAATAATTATTTAAAGTTATTTAATAATTGTGACATTTATTGTACTTTTTGATGGATGAATGATGCTCAAAGTGAGGGGGCAAATAATACAACTGAGGGGGCAACGCTTTTGCCCCCTTGTGGCGCCGGGCCCGCATGGGAGTAGGAAGCATCCTCAATGTGGGTGGGACAATTTGACAGGGGGTGTGGGCAGGTGGTGGACCTAACCTCCTCTAGGGGGGTCCGGGGACATGCTCCTAACTATAATGATCATATAAAGGTGTGCCTTCGAAATACTTGTTTACATAAATGATTACCAAACCGTTTGAGACCCACTACTTCGACTAACGTGAACTATCTAAACCCTTTAGCTCACTGAGCTGTAGTTACCAGCCTCAGTCTGACAGGAGAGGACTCAGCGCAGCATGTGCACGGCTCATGTGCACGGCTCATGTGCACGGCTCATGTGTACGGCTATGTGCACGGCTCATGTGCACGGCTCATGTGCACGGCTCATGTGTACGGCTATGTGCACGGCTCATGTGTACGGCTCATGTGCACGGCTATGTGCACGGCTCATGTGCACGGCTATGTGCACAGCTATGTGCACGGCTCATGTGTATCACCGGCTGCCCTCTCCCCTCCCTGATGGACACCTCCCGCTGCCTCAGGAGAACACATTGTTAAGGACAGTTCACACCCCGGCTTTCACCTGTTCAACCTGCTGCCCTCCGGCAGGCGCTACAGGTGGATCATATCAAAAACAAACAGACTCAAAGACAGTTTTTTCCCAAGAGCCATCATGGCATACCTCTTAATCATCCAGCATGTGGAATAAATGTGACTCAGTACATATATACATATATATCATTACTATTATTATTATAAATACATACCTACTATTAATATTTATTACATTATAGACATTATAGATTTTATTTTTATACTCCTGGAAATAATTACTGCACTTTATTCCTTATTCCTAAGTATGTATGCTGCGTGTATTTGTTGTCTTATGTTGTGATGTTTTTTTTGTTTTGATGGCACCCTTGAAAGGTAGAAGCATTCATTTATCTCATTGTACCTGTATAATGACATTAAACGATTCTATTCTATTCGATTAGTAAGATTTAACCCACTGTATTGAATCTGTCGAAAACGTCAGCTTTGTAAGGAGCACTTGGTCAACAGCGTCAAAAGCCTTCCTGAGATCAAGGAAGACAGCACCTACATATGGGCTCGTGTCCAACATACATTTAACCTTTAACCATGATACAATGTACCGTCAGATAGTAAGTACAGTGTTATAATTTGACACATAGTGAATGTGGCGGGGGGTTAGGGTCAGATCTAACCCTACACACCCCCCCCCCCCCCCCCCCCCCCCCCCCCCCCCCCCCCCCCCCCCCCCCCCCCCCCCAGTTTACATGTTTTACCCAGAATGGACTCTATCTGTTTCCAGGGCGACCGTCTGCTCATCAAAGGAGGGAAAGTCGTGAACGATGATCAGTCGTTTTACGCCGACATCTACGTTGAGGACGGGATCATCAAGTACCTTCATTATTATTAATTGCTGACTTCCTGCTGTCCTCTCTGACTTCCGGTTGTCCTCTCTGACTTCCTGTTGTCCTTTCAGATATGTCTCTGACTTCCTGCTGTCCTCTCTGACTTCCTGTTGTCCTCTCTGACTTCCTGTTGTCCTCTGACTTCCTGCTGTCCTCTCTGACTTCCTGTTGTCCTTTCAGATATGTCTCTGACTTCCTGTTGTTCTCTCTGACTTCCTGTTGTCCTTTCAGATATGTCTCTGACTTCCTGCTGTCCTCTCTGACTTCTTGCTGTCCTCTCTGACTTCCTGTTGTCCTCTCTGACTTCCTGCTGTCCTCTCTGACTTCTTGCTGTCCTCTCTGACTTCCTGTTGTCCTCTCTGATTTCCTGTTGTCCTTTCAGATATGTCTCTGACTTCCTGCTGTCCTCTCTGACTTCCTGTTGTCCTCTCTGACTTCCTGCTGTCCTCTCTGACTTCCTGTTGACCTTTCAGATATGTCTCTGACTTCCTGCTGTCCTCTCTGACTTCCTGTTGTCCTCTCTGACTTCCTGTTGTCCTCTCTGACTTCCTGCTGTCCTCTCTGACTTCCTGTTGACCTTTCAGATATGTCTCTGACTTCCTGCTGTCCTCTCTGACTTCCTGTTGTCCTCTCTGATTTCCTGTTGTCCTTTCAGATATGTCTCTGACTTCCTGCTGTCCTCTCTGACTTCCTGTTGTCCTCTCTGACTTCCTGCTGTCCTCTCTGACTTCCTGCTGTCCTCTCTGACTTCCTGTTGTCCTCTCTGATTTCCTGTTGACCTTTCATTTATGTCTCTGACTTCCTGTTGTCCTCTCTGACTTCCTGTTGTCCTCTCAGGCAGATGGGGGAGAGCCTCCTGGTCCCGGGGGGGGGTTTCCAGACGGTAGAGGCCTACGGTCAGCTGGTGTTTCCTGGAGGCGTCGATGCTAACACCAGCCTGTTCTCCCCCCAGAGAGGCCAGCAGCCTGCAGACGACCTGCAGCGAGGAACCAGAGCGGCTCTGTGGGGAGGAACCACCACCATCTGTAGGTACACCTGTAAACACTGCACCATCTGTAGGTACACCTGTAAACACTGTACCATCTGTAGGTACACCTGTAAACACTGCACCATCTGTAGGTACACCTGTAAACACTGCACCATCTGTACACCTGTAAACACTGTACCATCTGTAGGTACACCTGTAAACACTGCACCATCTGTAGGTACACCTGTAAACACTGCACCATCTGTAGGTACACCTGTAAACACTGTACCATCTGTAGGTACACCTGTAAACACTGCACCATCTGTAGGTACACCTGTAAACACTGCACCCATCTGTACACCTGTAAACACTGTACCATCTGTAGGTACACCTGTAAACACTGCACCATCTGTAGGTACACCTGTAAACACTGTACCATCTGTAGGTACACCTGTAAACACTGCACCATCTGTAGGTACACCTGTAAACACTGTACCATCTGTAGGTACACCTGTAAACACTGTACCATCTGTAGGTACACCTGTAAACACTGCACCATCTGTAGGTACACCTGTAAACACTGTACCATCTCTAGGTACACCTGTAAACACTGCACCATCTCTAGGTACACCTGTAAACACTGTACCATCTGTAGGTACACCTGTAAACACTGCACCATCTGTAGGTACACCTGTAAACACTGTACCATCTGTAGGTACACCTGTAAACACTGCACCATCTGTAGGTACACCTGTAAACACTGTACCATCTCTAGGTACACCTGTAAACACTGCACCATCTCTAGGTACACCTGTAAACACTGTACCATCTGTAGGTACACCTGTAAACACTGTACCATCTGTAGGTACACCTGTAAACACTGCACCTACCATCTGTAGGTACACCTGTAAACACTGTACCATCTGTAGGTACACCTGTAAACACTGCACCATCTGTAGGTACACCTGTAAACACTGCACCATCTGTAGGTACACCTGTAAACACTGTACCATCTGTAGGTACACCTGTAAACACTGCACCATCTGTAGGTACACCTATAAACACTGTACCATCTGTAGGTACACCTGTAAACACTGCACCATCTGTAGGTACACCTGTAAACACTGCACCATCTGTACACCTGTAAACACTGTACCGTCTGTAGGTACACCTGTAAACACTGCACCATCTCTAGGTACACCTGTAAACACTGTACCATCTGTAGGTACACCTGTAAACATTGCACCATCTGTAGGTACACCTGTAAACACTGTACCATCTCTAGGTACACCTGTAAACACGCACCATCTGTAACCTGTAAACACTGTACGTCTGTAGTACACCTGTAAACACTGTACCATCTGTAGGTACACCTGTAAACACTGCACCATCTGCTAGGTACACCTGTAAAACACTGTACCATCTCTAGGTACACCTGTAAACACTGCCCATCTGTACACCTGTAAACACTGTACCATCTGTAGGTACACCTGTAAACACTGTACCATCTGTAGGTACACCTGTAAACACTGTACCATCTGTACACCTGTAAACACTGTACCATCTGTAGGTACACCTGTAAAACACTGCACCATCTCTAGGTACACCTGTAAACACTGTACCATCTGTAGGTACACCTGTAAACACTGTACCATCTGTAGGTACACCTGTAAACACTGTACCATCTGTAGGTACACCTGTAAACACTGCACCATCTGTAGGTACACCTGTAAACACTGTACCATCTGTAGGTACACCTGTAAACACTGTACCATCTGTAGGTACACCTGTAAACACTGTACCATCTGTAGGTACACCTGTAAACACTGCACCATCTGTACACCTGTAAACACTGTACCATCTGTAGGTACACCTGTAAACACTGTACCATCTGTACACCTGTAAACACTGCACCATCTGTAGGTACACCTGTAAACACTGTACCATCTGTAGGTACACCTGTAAACACTGTACCATCTGTAGGTACACCTGTAAACACTGTACCATCTGTAGGTACACCTGTAAACACTGCACCATCTGTAGGTACACCTGAAAACACTGTACCATCTCTAGGTACCTGTAAACACTGCACCATCTTAGACACCTTAAAACACTGTACCATGTGTAGGTACACCTGTAAACACTGTACCATCTGTAGGTACACCTGTAAACACTGTACCATCTGTAGGTACAACCTGTAAACACTGCACCATCTGTAGGTACACCTGTAACACTGTACCATCTCTAGGTACACCTGTAAACACTGCACCATCTGTAGGTACACCTGTAAACACTGTACCATCTGTAGGTACACCTGTAAACACTGTACCATCTGTAGGTACACATGTAAACACTGTACCATCTCTAGGTACACCTGTAAACACTGCACCATCTCTAGGTACACCTGTAAACACTGTACCATCTCTAGGTACACCTGTAAACACTGCACCATCTGTAGGTACACCTGTAAACACTGTACCATCTGTAGGTACACCTGTAAACACTGTACCATCTGTAGGTGCACCTGTAAACACTGCACCATCTGTAGGTACACCTATAAACACTGCACCATCTGTAGGTACACCTGTAAACACTGTACCATCTGTAGGTACACCTGTAAACACTGCACCATCTGTAGGTACACCTGTAAACACTGCACCATCTGTAGGTACACCTGTAAACACTGTACCATCTGTAGGTACACCTGTAAACACTGTACCATCTGTAGGTACACCTGTAAACACTGCACCATCTGTATGTACACCTATAAACACTGCACCATCTGTAGGTACACCTGTAAACACTGTACCATCTGTAGGTACACCTGTAAACACTGTACCATCTGTAGGTGCACCTGTAAACACTGTACCATCTGTAGGTACACCTGTAAACACTGCACCATCTGTAGGTACACCTATAAACACTGTACCATCTGTACACCTGTAAACACTGCACCATCTGTAGGTACACATATAAACACTGTACCATCTGTACACCTGTAAACACTGTACCATCTGTAGGTACACCTGTAAACACTGCACCATCTGTAGGTACACCTGTAAACACTGCACCATCTGTACACCTGTAAACACTGTACCGTCTGTAGGTACACCTGTAAACACTGTACCATCTGTAGGTACACCTGTAAACACTGCACCATCTCTAGGTACACCTGTAAACACTGTACCATCTGTAGGTACACCTGTAAACACTGCACCATCTGTACACCTGTAAACACTGTACCATCTGTAGGTACACCTGTAAACACTGTACCATCTGTAGGTACACCTGTAAACACTGTACCATCCGTACACCTGTAAACACTGCACCATCTCTAGGTAAGCCTGTAAACACTGTACCATCTGTAGGTACACCTGTAAACACTGTA